CCTCCTTCGCCGTCCATTACACCTCCAATTTTGGCATCATCTACAAATTTACTAACTGTATCTCCTATGTTTGCACTCTGATCATTCATATAAATGACAAAAATCGGTGGACCCAGCACTGATCCTCATGGCACACTGCTGGTCACAGGCCTCCAGTCTGAAAAGCAACCCTCCACTACCACCCCCTGTCTTCTACCTTTTTTTTTGAGCCAGTTCTGTATCCATATATCTAGTTCTCCCTCCTATTCCATGTGATCCAACCTTACCAACCAGTCTACAACAAGGAACCTTGTCGAACACCTTACTGAAGTCCACATAGATCATATCCACTGCACTGCCTTCATCAATCCTCTTTTTGTTACTACTTCATAAAACTCAGTCAAATTCATGAGACGTGATTTCCCACACAAAGCCATGCTGACTATCCCTAATCAGTCCTTGCCTTTCCAAATATATGTAAATCCTGTCCCTTAGGATTCCCTCCGACAACTTAGCCACCACTATCGTCAGGCTCACCGGTCTATAGTTCCCTGGCTCTTTCTTACCACCTTTTCTTAAATATTGGCACCACATTAGCCAACCTCCAGTCTTCTGGCACCTCATCTGTGGTCATTGGTGATGCAAAAATTGTATATTAATATCTAGTTAATCAGAATATATGTGAAAGTATAGGACAACAGATTACCTAGAAAATGATTTTCACACAGTTGATGTTCTGCAGTAAAGACTCCTTAGAGATCGTGTCATATCGCTCCTCAGAAGTATCACCTTTTTTTCCCCCCACTGCACCTGCCCAGTTTCTGCCTGACTTTTTTTTCTTTATTTCAAAAACTACACCTGAGCAAATAGTTTATGGTTTTATTATATCTGAAGTCTTTGAGTTTATGTTTTGTGCTGTCCAATATCTATCTCACTGCACGTTGTTCAACCCATCTAAAATAGTCTCCCTTAAGCATTGATGAATCCACTGTCCCTGATTGCAGCAGCAACCTTGAATGACTTCCTTTTTGTTTTTCACCACTGCCCTATCGAGGAAAATTGTATTTCAAGTATTGATAACTCATTCGAATAAATGCTTTGAATAATTGCAGTGAATATTAGGTTATTCTGCGTATACTTCACCATTTATTTTTAAGTTCATGATGTTTTAAATTCAGGATGATTGTGTAGATGAGAGAAGTTATGTTTGCACAAGTTACTGTAGTTGTACGGGTTAATTTGACTAACTGTTACTTTAGCTGGCTAAAAGCTATTTCTGAGTCTTTTGAGTATTATTTAGCTTGAAATTTAAAGATTGAATCCAATCATTTGGATTAGGCCCACTATATTACAACACTTAACACGTTGTTCCTATGCTGACACATGCAACCAGCTGTTCTATTAGCTGTACAGCCCTGCTTTTTCTCCATGTTCCTGCATCACTTTGAGTATTTATCTAATTCCCCTTTGAAAGTTACCATTGAGACTTTTAGACAGTGAATTCCAGATTATTGCAATATGCGTCAAAAAACTTACCTTGTTTGATTCTTCAGCTAATTACTGTAAACATATGTCTTCTGTTTCTGACGTTCCTGCCAGTGAAAATAGATTTTTTCCAAAGAACGCACTCAAAACCACTTTCAAGTTTTGCACCTCCCTTTACTCTCTGCTATTAAGTCTCTCATCAGCCCTATATCAAATGGCAAATGCAAGGCTGGACACTTTGTAAATTGTGTGGAAGACTTAATTTCCAAATGAATTGCAATTGTGTTAAAGAATATGGAACATAACATCACAGGAACAGGCCATTCAGTGCACCATATCAGTGCTGACAGTGATGCCGTTCTTAACTATTCCATCTGCCTGCACATGGTCAATATCCCTCTATTCCCTGCCTCTTCTTGTGTCTGTCTGAATTCCTCATAAACTTGGCTTAAGTATCTGCTTCTACTACCTCTCCGGCAGCGCATTCCAGCCACCTACCGATCTCTGTTTAAAAAATACTTGTGCCTCAGTTTAAACCTATTGCCCCCTAGTATTTGACATTTTCATCCTGGAAAAAGACACTGACTAATCCACTGTATCCATGCCTCTCATGGTTTTATATACCTCTCAGGTAACTCCTCCGCTTCCAAAGCTCTAGCAAAAGCAATCTAAGTTTGTCCAACTTCTACTTACAACTAATAAGCTAATTCACTCCAATCCAGGCAACACCCTGGTAAATAAAGCAGAATTGCAGTTGCTGGAGATCTGAAGCAAAAACAAATTGCTGGAAAAACTCAACAAACCTGGCAAGATCTGTGGGAAGAGAGTTTCTCTAGCAGTTCAGTTTTTTTTTGTTTAACATCCTGGTAAATGTCTCTTGCACCTTCTCCAAAGACTGCACATGCTTTCTATAGCGTGTTGACCAGAACTGCCAAATGTGGACGAACTAAAGTCTTATACAGCTGCAACTAGACTTGCCAACTTTTATACTCCGTGTGCTGACTGATGAAGGCAGGCATGCAGTATGCCTTCTTTGCCACTTCATCCATGTTTTTTTTGTTGCCACTTTCAGGGAGCTATGGATTCGTGCTCCAAGATTCCTCTATGTCAATGCACCTAAGAGTCCTGCCTTTTACTGTGTATTTCCTTGTTTTATTTGACCTACCAAAATGCATCACCTTGCACTTGATTGGATTAAACTCCATCTGCCATTTCTCCACCTTCCAACTTTGCAACTGATCTGCATCCAGCTGTATCCTATGTCAACCTTTCTCACTGTCCACAACTCCTAATTTGTGTTGTCTGCAAACTTACTAATCAGACCACCATTCTATATATTAAAAGTGTACAGAGGTCCTAGCACTGAAACTTGGCCAGGCTCATTCCCAACACGAGGTCTAGTACAGCCCCTTCCTAATTGGACTATCTACATATTGTTTCAAAAAGCCTTCTTGGATGCACCTAACAAATTCTGCCCCATCTAAACTCCTGTCCCTAAGGGAATCCCAGTCAATATTGGGGTAGTTAACATCATCCACTACAACAACCTGTTGTTTTTACATAGATTCATACAGTTGTACTCTGCGGAAATATGCTCTTCAGTCCACGTCGCCCATGCCAACCAGGTATCCTAAATTAATCTAGTCCCATTTGCCAGCATTTGGCTCATATCCTTCTAAACCCTTCCTATTCATATACCCATCCAGATGCCTTTTAAATGTTGCTTTTGTATCAGCTTCCATCACTTCCTCTGGCAGCTTGTTCCATACATGCATCACCCTCTGCATGAAAAAGTTGCCCCTTAAGTCCCTTTTAAATCTTTCCCCTCCCCTTCCTTAAACCTATGCTGTCTAGTTTTGGACTCCCCACTCGGGGGAAAAGACCTTGGATATTCACTCTATCCATTCCCCCACAGATTTTATAAATCTCTATAAGGTCACCCCTCAGCCTCCAACACTCCAGGGACCAAACAGCAGAGGCGTTTAGCTATGCATGTTACTGCTGGGTCAGACAGCTGTGCAGGTTTACTAGTCTTTTTGATTCACTTGCTATGTGGTCACTGTCTTTGTCTCTCTCCTTTTTTAAAGTGCTGTTGTTTTGATCCTTTTTTCCCCAAAAGTTCCGAAACGATGCAACAGCTTATAAAACAGTTATTACTGCTCCCAGAATTCAAGGAAATCTGCTCCAAAACTGACAATATCTCAAAAGGAGCAACTCTTACAGCAGAGATAGTAGGAACTGCAGATGCTGGAGAATCTGAGAAACAAGGTGTAGAGCTGGATGAACACAGCAGGCCAAGCAGCATCAGAGGAGCCAGAAAGCTGACGTTTCGGACCTAAGGGTCTAGGCCCAAAACGTCAGCTTTCCTGCTCCTCTGATGCTGCTTGGCCTGCAGTGTTCATCCAGCTCTACACCTTGTTAACTCTCACAGCCCAATTTTTTTTTTTCTAGTCCTCCATCTTGGATTACTCAAATTCTCTTCCTTACCCATCTTTCCATTATCTGCCTACATACCTATTTCTCTCTCTCTCACTGGCTTTTTGGAGTCCTGCAGTATAACCCCATCATAGTAATTGTACCTTTCTTATTCCTGAGTTCTACCCATAAGGCCTGACTGGATGTGCTCTCCAAGATGTCCTCTCTTAGTGCAGCTATGATATTCTCACTTAATCAGTGATGCAACGCCACCATCCCCTTGACAGTCTTCTCTATTATGTCTGAAATATCTAAACCCTGGAATGTTAAGCCAGCCCTGCCCTTCTCCCACTCTTTTTTTTTTAATAATGGCTGCAACTTTGCAGTTCCATGAAGTACTCCAGGTTCTAAGTCTACTTGCCTTACCAGTTATATTCCTTGCATTAAAATAAATATATTTCAGACTGCCAATCCTGCTGTGTGTTCTTTAGCCTGGCCCTGTCTGTTCTTCCTGTTTTTTGATGTGGAGGTGCCAGTGTTGGACTGGGGTGGACAAGGTCAGAAATCGCACTACACCAGGTTGTAGTCCAACAGGATTCTTGGCTTAACCTCTACCTTCTCAATCACTCCAATGCTGACCCTCTGCTCTATTTCCCACCTCCCTGCTGCACTAATTTAAACCCTCCCAAGTGGTGCTAGCAAACCTCCTTGCAAGGATATTGGTGCTCCTCCAGTTTAGGTGTAATCTTTCCTTTCTGCCCTGAAAGAGATCCCAGTGATCCATTTTTCTGAAGCCCTCCCTCCTACACCAACTCTTTAGCCACCTGTTCAACTGGATTAAAACATTGGTTCACTCCACTAATTGGAATAAAAGAAAGGAAAGACATAACCTCGCTGTACCTCTTAATGCTGCTGTTCCTCCTCGGTGAAACCCGACACTCCCTAAAGCCCCCATTTTGATCACCGCAGCAGCACTTCCACCTCACAGCCCCTCTCGAAAATGATCGACTTCTCGCAGAATCCTCCTCAGTCACTTCTCAGTAGTGCCCTTTGTTATTTGAAAGATAGCAGCCTCACAGTTTTGATGTATGATTGTTGAGACTTAGTACTTTTTTTTTAAGCTGACTCTGGTACAAGACTTCCTGCAATCACTGAGCCTGTGAAGGATGTGAGTGACCTGATTGCACTACTGAATGAGTTCGAGGAAATGAGCTTGAATCCTGTTTCTGCTCTCTATTTGTTCTGTCAACGGAAAGGATGCAGTCTGCACTTCCAAGAGGTGGCAAATTCAGGTATTCTGTTGAAGATATTAAAAGTCTCTTAGATTTTTTTTTGAGGAATTTGTTTATTGAACCTCTTACTATTTACTCCATGGTTTTGCTGATAATACCTGTAGTCAGCAATTGGTTGCCAAAGGCAATCCATGCTTAATCAAGAACTGAATGGAGTGCAGGGGGATGTCTGCTGAAAGCCATGATCCTGCCTTTGCTTCCAAACTGACCATGTACACACACACAGCCTTCCCTGGAATAGTTGACTGAGCTTCTTGCCATATCAAGATTTTACTCCACGTATCTTTTTCCACTCTTAAGTAGGACTAAGACTGATAAATGAAGTTGAAATACAGATTATGTAATGGTAGAACCGGCCTGGGGCTGGGAATCAAGCCTCCGGAAAGGTGTATGGGCCTTTTAAGAGCAGTTGTACTGCATCCGAATTAAATTACGGCTTAAGGGGTTCAATTCACTCCCCGTGCATACACATGCATGTTTCCCTTGTATTCAAAGGTGGGGAGTAATTATTTACTGCTTGTTCATAGCATGTGGACAACAGCGAAGCCAGTGTTTGTTACTAATTGCTAATTTTTACTTGAACTGTTGCAGTTCGTGTGATTTTGGCCCAGGCAAAGTGATCTTGGGGATGGAATTCCAGGACTATGAATAAGTTACCGTATAAGACTGTGATGTAGTTCTAAGGCTGGATGGTTTGTGACGCTGAGGGGAGCTTGCAGTTGGTAGTGCTCCCATGTACCCAGTGTCCTTGTTCCGTGAGTGATGAGTTTGGAAAGATCCTTTGAGTTGTTGCAGTGCATCATGTAATACACATCGCAATCACTGCTCTGGTAGTTATTTGTTTTTAAGATGGTATATACAGGACGTAGATCAACTGAGCTGCATTGTCTTGAATGTTGGAGCAACATTTAGCCAGACAAGTAGAAAGCATTTAATCGCTTGACATAAACCTTCTGGATGATGGACCGGCATTGCGAAGTCAGGAATTAAGAATTTAAAGTTCTGAAATAGAGTTCTCAGCCTCTGATCTGTTCTTTGTAACCAAAGTATTTATATATCTAGTCAAATTAAATTTCTGTCAGTGTTGAGCCCAGGTATTTGATGGGCGATTTGGTGATGCTAATGCTGTTGAATCCAAAGGGTAGTTCTCTATTTGGAAGTGGCCATTGACTACCATGTATAATACGTACCATTTATCTGCTGAAGCCCAGGCCTTGCTGCAAACCATTATGGATCTTCGAGATAGCAGTTGTAGCATTTAAAATGAACCTACTTAGTACAGTTATTGCAGGGAAACCATTATTACTGTAGTGAGAAAATCTAGAAATGGAAGAAAATAGATTTGGGTCATTTAAGAGAGAAGTTGGAAAACCCTTCACAAAGGGTAGCAGAAATCTGGAATACACTCTGCATTTAAAAACAATGGATGATGGGTCAATTGAATTTTTCAAGTGCCCAACACATTTTGATTGGGTAAGGATCACTGGCGATGTGGAGGAAAGACAGGAAAGTGGTATTGAGGTACAGATCACTTGTAAGTCTAACTGAATGGTGAAACATGCTCAAAGGGCTGAATGGCCTGCGTCTTTCCTATGCTTCTTGATTTGCCCATTTCAGGATGTGATGTTTGAAGATAGCTGCTTACTATATTATATCATGGTGAAAATCATATTTTGATTGCCAGAGGCTGCTGCCACTTCACGTTACTCTGTTCGTGCTATTGTTGATGGATTCGAGTTTAAAGAAGGAATGGGTTTCAGCAAAAAAGAGGCCAAGTATAATTCTGCAAAAATTACATTGAAACAACTGCGCCAACAGTTGCAGAAAATTGCACCCAAGGGTAAGGAATCTATATCTGTTGGATTAACTCAGTATTGTTTACAATGTAAAATATTGCACCTCTATTCTTTGTTCATATTTAGAGCATGCGCAATTGAAGTAAGGACAATTTTTAAAAAGTTCCAATAAGATGCAACTATCTCCCAGGTATCTATGCAACAAACTTTTTGTTCTGTTCAATTCAGCATCTAACTTAGAGAATTCTGCAGACAGGATTTATGCAGAGCATTTCTAACGATGAATGAAAGTTATGACATTGAACACTGAAAATGGAAACTTTGACCAGTGTCTTTATATCATTGTTGGATAATTTTAACTTTGAAAACTAAAATCTGTTATCAATGGAGGTTTCAATTTTACTTTTTAACTTGCTTCTCAAAACCTTTATTGGAACAGGAATAGTCTTCACAGATCTGTCATTTGATTCATGAATGGTGAGGACTTTTTCTCCTACCCACCCACCAAAGCCACAATTTTTTACAATTCCTCCTGTGCAAGGGCCCTCTCATAATTTCTGAACAATAAATTTCCTTTTGTGTTCAGCCATTTCTTTGCCATTTATCATTCATTGTGAATCAGCATTCTCTGTTTGTGAAATAAAAACAGTCAGTGTTGGAGACAATCAGCAAGGTCAGGATAAAAACACTTTAATGTTTCAGATTGATGATTCTTCAACAGAATTTCTGTTTTTCAGTCATTCCTTCAGTGGGAACAGTTTCTCCCAATTTGCTCTGTCCATCCCTCTCCTGACTTTGAACACTTCCCATTAAATCTTCTCTCAATCTTCTTGACTTGGATCTCAGCCTATCTAATAATTGACGTTCCTCACTCTCTCTTTAATGGCCTCACACATCCCAAACATGAGCCTTAGTCATTAAGTACACACCCCACTATTATGATGTCCCTCGCATTTAATTCTATTCCAGTCTTTCCTCATGCTTTACTAGAACAATCTGCCATGACTGGATACCTGCCAGAAGATTGGTGACCCTTGCACCTGTGCCATTTTTTAAAAACCTGTTGTGCACCCAGATCAGCACTGTCAGTCTGGAGCTGCACTGCTTGGTTTCTGACAGTTGTCCTGGACATTGCAGACCCATTTTGGGAGCAGAGACATGGTCCTGGAGGACAGTGTAGTGCAGAGAAAGGGCATCCTGATCCTCCAGCATACTAGCAGTGAAGAATGTGATAGCAGATCATGCCAGTCTGGCCCAGAGTTGCTAACCAGGTCACTGTCTTCCTGGATAACTGTGGAGGAACACAGCAGGCCAGGCAGCATCCAAGGAGCAGGAAAGTTGACGTTTCAGGTCGGGACCCTTCTTCAGAAACTGACCCAAAATTTTCCTGCTCCTCTGATGCTGCCTGGTCTGGGTGTTTCTTCAGCTCCACACTGAGTTATCTCTCACTCTAGCATCTGCAGTTCTTACTATCTCCAACTTCCTTGAGTCTGCCAGGCTAAGTATCACCATCTTCTCTCTGGTATCCCACTCTCACTCTATCTCTGCTACTTTGCCTATCTTCCACCAAGATACCAAGATGCCCTACCACTCTTGCCATTGACTGCAACATCTCCACAGACTCCTAACCACTCCAAGCCCTGACAACACTAGTTCTGAATACTCTGCGCCCTGCTACCTATTCACTCTTTCAGTACGTCTGCCCACCTGCCCCAAATATATGCCACCATTTTTATCTCCGGTGATACCTGCTACTTTGTCTTTGCTCGAATAGAGCAGGGAGAGTCCAGATGGGAGTGGTGGGCTGTCTAGCATTCAGCTACTCTTCTTAATATGGAGGGTAGCTTGACTCTCTGACCATCTAACCATGTCTAAGCCCCTGGGCTAATATGGAAGTTGTCCTTGACTTACTGTGCTGGTTTCCCTGATCAAAGGCTATCTCCCTTAACTTGACTGAGGACAGCTGAAACCATGACACACTTCCTGGCTTTGGTTCTGCATGGCAGGACAGAAGTAAAATGAGCCTAATATCTCCGGCTGAAGTGGCAAAGCAATGCAAGGCAGAATGCTGAGAGTATCCAAATAGGCTGAATCAGTGACCGGTGTGCCACCAAGCAGACAGCTTGGAAATGTAGCTTAGCCTACTCCTTGAGCTGGATGCATGTCCCTGAGTGCAGAGGTTACATGTAACCTCTATGTGCCTTAAAGCATTTTGGAGGCTGGCACACATCTGATGCCAATGTCTGTGGACATTGGGTGCATGTGGTAGGTGTTTATGGAGTGTGCTGTGAGATGTTGGTGTTTAGTGTCCTATATGGAGGTCTCTTGGAGCAAGTGACGAGCTGAAGTTCCTGCTCTGAAACAGAAAAACAGCAATTGCAAGTCTGACAGCATCAGCGAAGTTGACCTACACTGACTTCATATTGAGAATTTTCCACATCTAGCTAGTTCAGTACATTCGATAAGATAGGAACCTGAATATTAATTGAATTGGTATTTACTAAACAATTAACTGACACCTCATTGCTGTCTAGCAAGCATGGTAGTGGTGAGATACTTGTAATGTTGAGAGGTCTCGGCAGACTTTGTCTAATTCTGCACCAAATCTCATGTCACTTAGGCCCCTTAGTATAGGAAGAATTCAGGGCCAGCATCCTTCCTTTAAGAGGGAAGAGCAAGCTTGGCAAGTCCAGGGGTCTCTGGGCGTCAAGGGATATCAAGAGTTTGGTGAAAGAAGGAATCGTATGTCAGGTATAGCGCAGTAAAAACAGGTAGGCCCTTCAAAAGTTGAGTTGGAGCGCAAATCTGGACTCAACCAGTTGAAATCCAGAAGTATACGGATAACTAAGACAACCTTTGTCATCTCTACAAGTTTCAGAATGAAATAATAGAGTTTAAAGTGCCAGTAACAATAACTGCGTTGCAACAGGGATTAATGACTAAAGCAAGGTACTTCTAGTCCCAAATTATTTTAATTGGATAATAGTCTAACATTCAGAATATGAGTCCTAAATCTTCATATTCAAAATTCTTAACTTCCCCAATGTAGTTACCTAACTCATTGAATTAGGAGGCCATTCACTCTGCTCGGCCAACTTTTTCTGGAAGAGCTGTCTAATCAGTTTCTTTTCCTTGCTTTATCCTCAAATAATGCAATATGCAGGTTGCTTTAAAGTTACTGCTGAATCTGCATCAACCACCTTTTGAAATGAATTTCAGAAACTTATCTTCCGCACTGGTCCATTTTACGAATTTGTTAAATCTGTATCCTCTAGTTACTGACCTTTCTGTAAGTGGAAGGTTTTTTCACTTCTACTTTTTCAAAATAGAGAAGTTTTGACAGTGATAATTCTGTTTTCCCTAACTTTCTAAGCTCTGAGGAAAACGCACCTAGTTTATCTGGTCTCCCCTTGTAAATAAAGTCGGGCATCCCTGGCATGACTCTTGTAAATTGCCCTGCACCTTGTCTAAGGGGAAATCATGCCTGAAAAATTTATTAGGATTCTTTTGAAGAACTAACAAGTAGGATAGATAAAGGGGCACTACTAGATATAAGATCTGTATTTCCAATAAGCGTTTGATCGGAAAGTGCGCAAGCTACTTAATACTGTTGGGTTTCAATATTAGAATGGATAGAGGATTGTCTAACTAATCAAATAGAGAGTTGGGATAAAAAGGCCATTTTCAGGATGGTGTCCTGTAACCAGTAGAATACCATGGGGCAGTGTTGGGGCCACATAGATATTTAATGGTTTGAGGGAAGCAAATGTGCTATTGCCAAATTTGTGGATGATAGATGGTGGGGTGCAATTGGTGAGGATAACAGGTCAGTGGACAAAAACTTGTCAGTTGGAATATAATGTGTGAAAAATGTGAGATTACTCACTTTGTCAAGAAGAATAGAGGAATTGAATGTTATTTCAATAGAGAAAGTTGCAGCGCAGAGATTGGGGTCCTCTTGCATAAATCTCAAAAACTAGCATCCAAGTTTCAGGTAATTTAGAAAGCAAATAGAGCGTGACCAATTATTTTTATTGGAATGAAAAATTAAAAATAGGGAGGTCTTGCTAAAAATATACAAGGCGCTAGTCAGAGAATGCTGAGAATCCTGTGTAAACATCCTGCAGATGTTTTGAATCAAAGACAAAAGCAGAAATTGTTGGATAAGCTCAGCGGGTCTGACAGCATCTGTGGAGAGAAATCAGAGTTAACTCAGTTCTGAGGAAGGGACGCTCAACCTGAAACGTTAACTCTGATTTCATTTCTGGGAATCCTGTGAAAAGTTTTTGTCCTCTTAGAAAGATATACTGCCAATGGAGGCAGCCTAGAGAAGGTTCACTAGGTAATGGGGGAGATTTTCTTACGAGGAGAGGTTGAGTAGATTGGATCTATACTAAGTGGAGTTTAGAAGAATTAAAGGTGATGTTATTGAAACATACAAGATTCTTTAGGGGGCTTAAAAGTATAGCTATGCGATAGTTGTTTTCCCTTGTGGGAAAGTCTACCAGAGAGCATAATCTGAATAAGGGGCCACTCATTTGAGACTAAGATGAGGAGAATTTCTCCTGAGGGTATAGTGAATCTGTGGAATTCTTCACCTTAGAAGGCTGTAGAGTCTGGTGGTTAAGTATATTCAAGGCTGAGGTTGGTTGAATTTTTTTTTCTCCATCAGGAAGTGTATCAAGGGGTAAGGTAGTGAAGCAAAGTTGAGATTTCAGTTCCTGTTGCATGGCCAAATGGCTAATTTCTGCTCTAGCACCTTTATGGTCTTCTCCTTCCTAAAACTTGAAATGTGAGACTGAATTTTCAAGCAGATGGAGATAGCTCAGCCAGCAACTAAAATGATGCCAGATTCTAAGTTCTGTCCTAAACCTAGCCCCTTCCCCTCAGAGGAAGAAATAGGAATAGGGTGCACTTTATGCTTGCTATTTTACTGATTTTTGGTTTGATTTATTGTCACATGTACCTAAGCACAGAGAAAAACTTTGTTTACGAGCAGCACAGACAGATCATTGTAAGCAAGGACATACAGATCATAGTGTGA